CCAGGAGGCTCGCGCAGGAGGGGCCGGGTGACCGTTCCAAGGTCAAGGAGGTCAGGGCAGCTCAGGTGCTCGCCGACGAGAAGGCCCAGAATTTCCAGAGGACAGTGGGTCTGCTGGAGCAGGCCAAGGCGCGCGCCCTCTGCGCCGTCAGCGAGATGGCGGAGCTCGGGGCGAAGCTGGAGCAGCTGCGCCGCGAGCAGGAGGAGGCAGCGGCCAAGGCCAGGGAGGCGTTGGCCGCCCAGGCCGCCAAGAAGGCGGAGGAGGCAGCGGCAGCGGCAACGGCAGCGGCAGCAGCAGCAGCAGCAGCAGCAGCAGCAGCAGCAGCAGCAGCAGCAGCAGCAGCAGCAGCAGCAGCAGCAGCAGCGGGCCCCGCAGCAGTCCCCTCGGCGGCGCTGCGCAAGGCGATTGGCGAGGCGCTGGCCGTCTGCGCTGAGGAGGCGCCTGTGCTGGTGGCCAAGCTCAGCGGGGTGCTGGACGAGCTGCTCGAGGGCCACGCCAAGGCCGCGGCGGCGGGGCCCGCTGGGGCCAACGGAGGGACGCCCCCCCGAAGGCGGCCGCGGCGGTCAGCTCGGCCGCGGGGCCAGCGCAGGCCACCGCGCCTGCACCTGAGATGGACGCGCAGCAGGTATGGAGGGACTTCACGCAGGTGCTGGACGACCCAGACAAGCGGAAGATCGCGGAGGTGCTCATGGAGGAGTGTGCCACGCAGGCGGCCAAGAAGGGGCGTTTCGCTGAGGGGGGGGTGGGCCTGCTACGCCTTCCTAGTCGCAAGCGCGGCTGCTGGAGGATCTGCACTGTCAACGTCAACGCGTTCAGCAGCCTGGACAAGTGCCTGGCGGTGCAGGAGGTCAGAGACAACGACGCAGTACTGGCGCAGGAGACCAGGCTGCTGGGGGGAAGGGGTGCCAGCGCTGAGGGGCAGCTGCGCGCTCAGGGGTGGCGTGCGAAGGGCGCGCCAGCAGTCCCATCAGTCGCTGGGGGGCTCAGTACTGGCGGCCTGATCGCCATGGTCAGGCGCTCCCACGGGATGGCCGAGTTCGACGACCCGCAGGGCGCAGTGATCGTGCCAGGCAGGATCCACATCTGCTGGGTGGCGGGCGTGGGGCGTGGAGGTATACTGCTGGGCAACGTGAACCTGGAGGCGGGGGTTTGCCTCGGCGCGGGCAACGTGCTGGGGCTCAAGTTGCTTGCGCGGAGGCTCAGGCAGTACCAGAAGGAGTTCGTGGTTGGCGGTGACTTCAACCTCGCGGCGAACGAGCTGAAGGACGGAGAGCTGCTCGCCATGGTCGACGCCGTCGTGGTCAGGCCTTCGGTCCCTGCCTGCGCTGCGCCGGGGCGGGTCATTGATTTTCCCTGGTGTCCAAGGGCTTCGTGGCGCGAGGGATCCAGGTTGCACCCGCGTCTCCAGTCCATCCGCGCTCGCCCTTGGTCATCGAGATTGGCGCGCAGGGCGAGAGGCCGATATTCCAGGTGGCGCAGGTGGCGCGGTGCTTCCCCGCGGACAGGCCGCTCGGCTGCTGGCAGCGGGACCATCGCCGCAGGTGGCAGCAGTCGAGACAGGAGGTGAGGAGGCAGCTCTCACCTGTGGTGCGCTTCGTGAGCGCGGAGGCTGGGGAGGTGGAAGGTCCTGGCGTCAGTTCGCAAAGTCCAGGAGTGCCATTGCGGCTACCAAGCACCGTCAACACGGGCGTTAGATCGGCCGGGGTGTTTCTCGACCGCGCTGTTTTCCCAAGGCGTCGGAGCTGGGCGCCCCTTATCCCACTTTCCCACACACAGAGGCCACGCGGTGTTCCCAGGAGGCTTCGAGATGGCCAGACATATAGTTTCCCGGGAACCTCCCTCCGCGTCCTTCTCTCCGCCACCTTCTTGCCTCCACCGCTCCTTGCCTCTAATCCCCCACCGCCTCCGCACCTCCTCCTTCCATCCCTCCCGCCGCGAGGGCATCTGGCAGAGTGTACCATGTGCAGTTCCGCGAACATCGCGCTGGCAGCTTACCTTGCGCGTGCGCGTCGCCAGCGGGAGCGCGGAAAGAGGAGCCCCGCGTTCGCCTGCGCTTGGCGCGCACTTTGCCCGTGCCAAGGTTCCAGGCTGTCAGCGAGAATAGTGGGCCTCGTCGGGCTCCTTTCCTGGCGTTCCGCGCCCTCCTTCCCGTCCCTCCCCCTTCCTTGATCCCCTCAGACGGCTTGCTTCCCCCATATTTGTTATCAGTAAGGGCTTCGCCCCATGCCGCCGGCCCCCTGTCTCGGATAATGGGAGATGCAACAGCTAGATCATGAGGTCTGGGCGCCGCCGTGAAGCAGTGTCGGGACCTGTTTGTTTTTCGACCCTGACCCTACGGATCTGCGTCATGGGTGCCACCGAATTGCAGAAATGTTGCAAATCTCTTATGTTTTTGGACCCTGACCCTACGGATCTGCGTCACTGGTGCCACCGAATTTCAGAAATGTGGCAACTCCTTTGTGTTTTTGGACCCTGCCCCTACGGATCTGCGTGAGGGCTGCCACCGAATTTCGGAAATGTGGCAAATCCTTTGTGTTTTTCGACCCTGGCCCTGCCGACCTGCGTGAGGGGTGCCGCCGAATTTCAGAAATGTGGCAAATCTCTTGTGTTTTTCGACCCTGACCCTGCCGATCTGAGTGAGGGGTGCCGCCGAATTTCAGAAATGTGGGGAAATCCCATGTGTTTTGGATCCTGACCCCGCCGATCTGGGTGAGGGGTACCACCGAATTTCTGTTGTATCTATACAAATGTGTACATGTGTAGTTCATCTTTCCCATATACCAGACCTCTCTCCCGAAAACGCTTGTGTGATAGAGTGTTGTCTTTCTCTCTTCCTCCATCTGCTCTGCAACCTCGAGCAGTTGCCAACGACACAAGGAGGAGGATGGTGGTGATGGTGATGATGATGATGAGGAGGAGGAGGAGGAGGATGAGGAGGAGGAGGAGAAGGAGGAGGAGGAGGAAGAGGAGGAGGGGAGGAGGAGGATTTGGGGCGCCCTGCTTTCGCCAGCGGGCCGTCCGGGATCGGCAGCTCTGGGCGAGGCTGGATCGCGGCACCCCCAGGCACCTTCGCAGCGGGCGACCAGCAGAGTGCACCCGAGCCCTGGGGAGGCTCTCCAGGACCCCGGGCCGCTCGTCGCGCTGTTGTGACTCGACGGGGGGGTCCCTGGCGCGCGCCGCGGGCGAGGAGCGGAGGCCCGTTCGCGAGGGATGCTCGGCGCCGGTCGCGCGGGCGTTCGTGCGGGAGGCAGGCGGCCACGGGCACGGTTGTGCCAGCGCTGAGCTCGGCACTGTCTCCAGGAGAGCTCAGGAGGAGGAGAAAGGTGCCCATGCCGCTGCCCTTCCATCCTTTTCGCCTTCTCGGGCTTCCCAGGAGGTCCTCGTCGCCAGCGCTGGATTTGCTTCGAAGTGCTGGTCAGAACGCAGCCTGGGAGAGGTCGGTGGATTCGCGGTATCGGTACTTGTTGGTCTCCCCACAAGCTCGGTGGTGGTGCATTGCCCAGACGTGTGTTTTCTGAGAGCTCATGTGCGGTATCAGAACTGCTGTAATCAGGCTTGTGCTGTTCAGCCGATGCGCCGTGCGGCGCGGCTCCACGGACTGACTCGTTTCACGTGAAATTGCGAGCGTTTGGGCTCCGCCGCCGCCGATTTTGCCATGTGACTTCCGAGGAAACTACTATCCTGAAGTCAAACACGATTGAACGATCCAGTGTATTGATGCCGCGTTTCATCTGCCGTCATTGGCAGCAAAGCTGGCACCCGTCAAGCATTTGCAGAGAGCGCGTTGCATTAGAGCCACTTGCTGCACGACCCGCGCGGCGTCGAGCAGCAAGCAGACACCAAACGCGTTCGCACAGGACAGCCCAGAAAAGTTTGGAACTTAGCCTCCGAGTCCAACCGATAAAGCTTGGGCTTTGGGATTCGATAAATCAATTCCACGCCGTGGCCTATTGATGCCCTGGGAAGTGCGGCAACCATTACCGCATGCGCACGTGTGGACGTGTGTCCATGTTTTTGTTGACCAGGACTGCGACATTCAAAGTCGTTTCCACAAGTAGGATAGAGGCAGTGAGGATATTTTCAACGATATAGTCGACATGCTTGTTGTGCACGGATGCCCGTATATCTGAGCGTATTGTACAAACCTTGTTTGCAGTCCACGATTATCGTTATATACGCCCTACAGTGTTTCTGCAAGCTGCCAAAGAGCGAGCTCCATCTGAGTGGCCATCTCTGCTCACTTACCTGCGAACCCATCCAGTCTGCACGTCCGAGCAACGTGTGGAACGATGTATGTAGCAAGGGCCGGCCCGGAACGTCATAGTGATGTTTAATTGCGTCGGAGGTACATGATGCCAGCTTTCTAGCGTAATACTAATCATCCTGGCTTGGCGCAAAGTCTTGAAAGTGCAAGAGGCAGTGCCAACTTCGCGTTGAGTGTACATTACTGTGGTAGAGGTGTTTGCGGTGATGCGTTGAGCATTACAGTGTTCAATTTGCGAGTTAATTTGAAGTTCGGGGCCTCAGTGAGCTACCATGTTGGCGAGGATGGGTCGTCTTATTGCGTTGTACTGCTCGCAGCGGTTTTCGTCGCACACAGAATCGCTATGCTCAATGTCAGCAGAAGGCATGCGAACATCGCCGCTTTTTTGCTCGAATGTGCCTTCCTCATTGGCTTAGCGTGGTAGGAGGTGGTGCCGCGATCGATGCGCAACCGTGCTTTCGACAGTATGCCGACCTGTTACTATTCATGATAGTTGTCTTGAGAATCCCACTTTGCCTGAGTCCCAACAACGCTAGTCAATATCAGCGATTGGCTTGAGCGCTGGCTTGTAACACGTAATCGCGCCGAGTTTGAAGCACATGATTTTCCGCCCTTGTGCGCCGTTCTTTTGCCTGGATTGCCAGGGGGTGCTGACACAGGGAGGGCATCGTTTTCTGGATCAGTCCAGGGTGCTTCTCAGACACTCGCACCTTTGCAAGGGTGTCTGCGGCAATCGCGAGGGACTGGTAGGCAGCTGGGGCCGCATCGGGGTTCTGCCCCGCCCGGTGGCGCATGCCAGAGTTCTCGACCGTCGTGCTTGCGATCAAGCTGCGCCGTCGCGCGAACCCGACCGGGCAAGAACGGGAAGCGCCGATCGTATCCACTGGGCTCGCAGGGCGGACGAGAAGGGGAGGATGACGGCGACGACGAGGCGGCGGACGTCGGGGATGGCCGCGCGGACGGCGGGGAGGGCAGCGAGGGGGGCAGCTTGTCGCTCCTGCGATCCAGCCTGCGCCGTCGCGCGGAGCCGCCGCCGCGAGCGTGCGGGCGCTTGGGGGACGGGGGGGGAGGGGCGGGGCGGGGGATGGAGGGGCGCCCAGGGTTGGATATGCCATGGGGCCCACCATGAAGTCGGGTATGTCCCTCTCTAGAGGAGGAAGACTCAGAAATAGTCAACAACAAGTAGGGGGACGGTTGTGCCAATGTTTCTAAACCGTTTTGGGATATGCTTGACCATGTTCAGCTTTTCTTCCAAAGCCTGCCTGTAGGAGGACATGCCCGACCGAAGCCTACCACCCGAACTTGCACATGATTCGGCCCACACCATGAGCGAATGGTGGGCTAGATGCGTGCGTTGGGTGTTCTGCACACTGCTTCCCAGGGAGTGACACTGGCAAGCGCAGCATCGGCGCGACACGCCAGCCGCTGAAGCGTGGTGTCGGATCTTGTCGACTGACGTCGTGTTTTACACCCCCTTCAATACAGGCCGCCCAGATGTGGCCAGAATCGACGGGGGTTGCAGGATCTCATCGCATCGCCGATGCATCGGTGATGCAAGGCAATTTGGAGCTCGACTCTCTCCATCCCGACATCGCAGGTGCATCGCCAGTGTATCGTCTAATTAAGCAGTACAATCCTCCGGCCCCATCTGCTCTAACCCTGTTCGGGCTGTCCCCGTTCATGTCGTCCACCTGCCGCGGCCGCACTCTACCCCCTCCTTCCCTTGCCCTGGCCTTTGCGCAATCGTTTCTTCCCTCTTTTACTTATCTCTGAAAGAGCACGTTCTGTGGTCGCTTGGAGGGGGGGGTTGGAACTGGACCCCCCCACATCCCCCCGGGATGGAGGGGGGAGGGGCGGGGGTTCGAATCCTCTTCCCCCCCCCTCCCGTTACCGAGGGTGGGGGAGGTTCGAACCCCCCCCCTTTCCCCCCCGGCTTCCCCTCTCCTCGTGCCGTCGGCGGCGGCTGGCGACGGCGGCGGGGACGACGATTTCCATTTCTGGGCCGGCGCCGGCGCCTGCGGCGGCGGGCGGCGGTGGCGGGGAGCGTCGACGAGGACGGTGGTGGTGGTGGTGGTGGTGGGTTGTGGTGGTGGTGGTGGCGGTGGTGGTGGTTGTGGTGGTGATGGTGTCGTGGTTTGTTGTGGTGGTGGTGGTTGTGGCGGTTGGTGGTGGTGGTGGTGGTTTGGTGGTGGTGTGGTGGTGGGTTTTTGTGGTGGTGGTGGTGGTGGTGGTGGTGGTGGGTTGTGGTGGTGGTGGTGGTGGTTGGTGGTGGTGTGGTGGTGATTTTGGTGGTGGTGGTGGGTTGTGGTTGTGGCGGTGGTTTGTGGGGGTGGTGCTGGTGGTGGTGGCGGCGGTGGTGGTGGTGGTGTGGTGGCTTGTGGTGGTGGTGGTGGTGGTGGTGGTGGTGGTGGTGGGTTGTGCTGCTGGTAGTGGTGGTGGTTGTGGCGGTGGTGGTGGAAGTGTGGCATATTTTGGTGGTGGTGGTGGGTTTTTGTGGTGGTGGTGATGGTGAGTTGCGGCGGTGGTGGTTGTGGTGGTGTGGTGGTGGTTTGGGGTGGTGGTGGTGGGTTGTGGTGGTGGCGGTGGTTTTTGGACGTGGTGCTGGTGGTGGTGGTGGTGGGGGTTGTGGTGGTACTGGTGGTGTGGTGGTTTGTGGTGGCGGCGGTGGGTTGTGCTGCTGGTAGTGGTGGTGGTTGTGGCGGTGGTGTTGGTGGTGTGGTAGATTGTGGTGGTGGTGGTGGTGGTAGTGGTGGTGGGTTTTTGTTGTGGTGGTGGTGTTGGTGAGATGTGGTGGTGGTCGTGGTGGTGGTGGCTATGGTGGTGCTGGTGGTTGTGTGGTGCTGTTAGTGGTGGTGGTGGCGGTGGGTTGAGGCTGTGGTGGTGGTGGCAGTAGTGGTGGTGGTAGTGGTGGTAATCGTCGCTGCGTCCCCGCCGTCGCCGGCGCCAGCGCCGGCGGTTCTGACCGCCGCCAGCGCCGGCGCCGGCGCGAGGGGGGGGGGGGTGAAACCCGCCCCCCCCCTCCTCGGTTCCAGGGGGGAGGGGGTCAAACCCCTTCCCCCTGGGCTGCCTCTGGTCATCGTCGCTGCGTCCCCGCCGTGGGCGCTGCTGGCGGCCGCCAGCGCCGGCGCCGGCGCCGGCGGGGGGGGGGGGGTTTGAACCCCCCCCCCTCCCCTTGTGAGGGGGGGGGGTTCGGAGGGGGGGGGTTTGGGGGGGAGAGGAGTCCCCCTGGTTTTGATCGACGGCGCCGAGTGCTGGGGGGGGTGGGCCCACCCCCCACTTCGAAACGCGCCGCCGACTGTTCCCAAAGCGAGCACCCGTGAAACGCGTTCTCTCTTTTTTTTTTTTTTTTTTTTTTTTTCTCTCTCTCTCTCTCTCTCTCTCTCTCCCTATCCCTCTTCATTCGCCCAGTTCTTGTCGATCACCAGTCCAGTGTTGGCAGGCCGCAACTTCAGCCCAGGTTCTCTGTTCCAAAAACCTACACTCGTCTCGCTTTCTGGGGACATCCCGACCTGCCAGGCATCATGCAATCCATGTTCCGTGCTGCTCCCGGGGGATCGTTCCGCGAGGCATTCCATGACACCGAGAGCAGATGTATCTACGAATAAGTCGGGCATGCCCCTCTACAGGAGGAATATTCAAGAATAGTTACAAATAGTACGGGGACGCTTTTCCGATTTGTTGTCGACTATAGTTGCGTATTTTGGAGGATGTGGGGACCTTCTTTCAAAATCCACCTGTAGGAGGACATGCCCGACCTAAATCCACGATGGGGAAAGACCTCTCTCTCTCTCTCTCTTCTTCACGGTCGCCCCCCCAGGTGCTATCGACGTACTTCCGGGACTCCCCCGGGAGCCTGCCCTTGTGGCTCTGCGTGCAGCTCGGCCTCGGCGATCGGGTGTTGGCCCACCTGGGGCGGCTGTCCGGGCCCTGGCGCGCGCGCGCGCAGGGGTCCCTCCTGCGTCAGGGGGGAACGACAGGGGGGGGATGGGTTCAGGGGGGGAACGGTAGTCGGGCCGGACGACAGGGGGGGTCTGGGAAAGGGGGGGTTACGAAATTTGCTGATTCTCAAACCCCCCCTTTGCTATCCCCCCCTTTTGCCCGACCCGAGATAGGGGGGGGGGACAGGCTCGTGTCGGACGACGTTCGAGGTTTTCGGGGGTTTTGTTCTGTCCTCGGCGGTTTTCCAGCCTCCAGATGCTCTCCAGCAGCTGCGCCTCGCAGAGGGCCGTCTGGGGGTGTCCGGATCGTCCCGAGCGGCCGCCAGAGGCCCGAGGTAGGCTCAGGGGGGGACGCATCGACCCCCAATCGCTTTTTCATCGCCGATAGGGGCCCGATAGCCCACCCCGCCCAAGAACGTGCGGTTTCACTATGGATCTTCGATGTATCTCCGATTCCAGGTTGATGTTTCCACTCTTGAGTTGGTCCCCCTTCTATTGTTGCCCCTCACAGCGGGGGAGCGGTAGGTTTATCTGAGAGGGCCCGTGCCTTGTTTTGAGAATTGGTCCTGCTAGTCTCGGGGGATAGAATACGGCATGAGCATAATTTGTCTGAATTCCTTGCGGATTTCTTGGATCGGCGTTGTGCCCTCCCTGGTGGCGCCTTCGGCGCCGCTCCTGGCGCGCCCCGAGCGCCAGGGAGGGGGGTCCAGCGCCGATCCAAGAAACCCGCGCGTGTTCCTTGAAGAATTGGTCTTGCTATTCCCTCGGCGATTCACATGGGGTTGGTATGGAGTCGGGAGAGGCGCAGGAGGTTCGCATGGGGTGCGTTGAAGTTCACAGGAATCGCGGGTGCTGGCAGGTTGAAGAAGAGGATTGGCAGGTGGAGGAAGAGGATGCGAATGAGGAGCCGGAGCAGGAGGAGCAATAGCACGAAGAGTCTTTTGAGAAGAATGAGGAGCTGCAAGACGAAGAGGCGGAGCGGTGCTATTGGGCTGAACTGGATCTCTTTGGACTTGTCAGGAGAACCAGCCTGGGGAACCTGGGACCATATTGAGGTCATCTTGGAGGTTTGTCCAACACCTCTTGGACAATCTCCGAGGAATCCGAATGTCGTCCTGGGGCCAGCGCGTTCGGCACAGCGTGGATTGTCCAACGTACTTGCAGCATCTCGTGCGATCAGCAGAATTTTGCCCAGGAAAGCGGGGTCAGCGTGGGGCGCTTCAGAGAGGGCCTCGCGCTCGATGAATCCGCCTCGCTTGCGCCAGGGAAGATATTATCTTCCCTGGCGCAAGCGAGGCGGACGGCGGCGGACGCAGAACCAGGGCGGTGCCGCCGGCGGAAGACGGCCAGCGGAGGGCGGCGGACGCGGGGCTGCTGGAGGCGGGCGGCGGTTCCACGCCTTCTGCTGGTGTCTTGCCTCGCTGGCTCCTCGCTCCTCCTGCCTCTCCTCTTCTGTCTCCGTGTCCTCGGCCTCGTCCCCAGGGGGGAGCGGCGGCCCCCTGGACTCCAGGGCGGGAGAGCAGGAGCGGCTGCCCACGTGGAGCCGTCTCCGCGGAGGTGCGGGCGTTGGGGGGCAGGGTCGCGGGGCCAGGCTCCCCCCGTCTGCCTCGTCAGGTAGGATCTGCGGGGGGCCTCTGTCCCGACTCTCGCTGCATGATTCGGCGTCCAGGTGGCCTCGTGGCCTCGGCTGGCTTCGGAGTGGCCTCGGTTAGCCTTGGACGTTCCTCGGATGGCCGCAGGTGGTCTCAACTATGGCGCGGATGGACGGTCAGAAGGACAGCCCAATCTTCGAAAGACAACACAAACTTCGCAGCGCCTGTCCTGGACCTTCTCTCTGAAGCTACGAGTTTCACTTGCGGCAGTTTCTCGGTAGGTTTGTTTAGGCCCCTCGCGAAGCGTCCTGTTGGGGTTCTTGGGCGCAGTGCTGTGAAAGTGAAGGCGGCGGAAGTGAGCGATGTGTCCCCAGGAGATGTGAAAATTTTGAACGTTTTTTGATCAAGGGTTTCTGGTGTCGGACATGTCGGACCTTTCTCAGGGCTTCCACGGCTCAGCAAGGAAGTTTGAGAGCCTCCGACAGGGTCAGGATGTTTTTTGAGTCACACAAGTGTTCAATCTGATAACTATGCTCCGCTTTCCGTCGAAGGTGGCTGGGGAGTGGCTTGTGTCCCTTCCGCGTATGGCTGCTACGGGGTTTAAATTGTTGATGATTGCCATGGGTTTGGGTTTTTTCCAATCAGATCGGCATGTTACTCCCGTCGTTCTTAATGGCACTCTCGCCCCAGCGCGGGCCTCGTTTCGTGGTCCGCGTCTTTCCTCATCGTTGACGCCCCCCCTCCTTTCCCCTCCCTCCCCCTTCTCCTGGTCCTCCTGCTCATCCCGCCCCCTCTATTCCAGCTCCTGCTGCTGTTGTTCGTCCTCGTCCTCCTTCCTCATCCTTTTCCGGTTCCTCATGCTCATCCGCCACTCGAAGCCTACGCAGCTCCCCATTTCCGATTGCGCATAACACGATGGGGCCCTTGTTGGAGTTCCAGGTTCGCTATGTGCACGTCGGAGGATCGAGAAAAAGTCCGCGCAATTGGAAGGGACGGGTGGGAGTGGTGTTATGTCAGATATAGTGCGAGCGCTCCTAGCTTGTCGATCCCACCTCTGCCACCCCCCATCCCCCTCAAACAGGATGGCGGACTCCTGGAGAAAGGGGAACATGGGAGCAGGGGGAGTGGACAGTCAATCACCTCACGCACCTTTTGATGAGTCGTTTGATGAGTCCGTCTCTGCCAGACCTGTTCAGTTGTGCTCTGTCGGGTCAAGTTTCTCTCCAGCGGTTGAACCGGTGATATGTGCGATGTGATCGGGTGCGTTTGGTCGTTTGGTCTTCGTGTTGTTATGCCTGTCTATCGTTCGGTTACTCTCTCTTTGTGTAGAAAGAGTTATACAGATATCCTTGTCTCGTTTTTCTCCTACATACGCAAAAATCTGCATATGCGCATGTAGTCCCAGCTGCCTGCGGCAAGTCCTGCCATGTTCTGTCGGGCCAGGTTTCTCTTCAGCGGTTGAACCGGTGATATGTGCGATGTGATCGGGTGCGCTCGGTCATTTGGTCTTCATGTCGTTATGCCTATCTATCTCTCGGTTACTCTCTCTCTCTCTGTATGGATATAGTTCTATAAATATGAAAGAGCGTGTTCTACCGCTGCTGGCGGAAAACCGGGGGGGGTCACTACTGGTTCGAACCCCTCCCCCCCCCCCCCCCGGAAAACCGGGGGGGTCACTACCGGTTCGAACCCCTCCCCCCCCCCCCCCCAGCTCATCATGAAAAGGGGGGGGGGTCACTACCGGTTCGAACCCCCCCCCCCCCCTCGAAAACCGAGTGGGGGTGCGGACAGTGGTGGGGACGGTGTTGGTGGGGACAGTGGTGAGGGGACAGCGGGACAGTGGTGGGGACAGTGGGGGGACAGTGGGACAGTGGTGGGGACGGTAGTGGTGGGGACAGTGGTGGGGACAATGGTGGGAACAGGGGGGACAGTGGACAGTGGTGGGAACGGTGGTGGTGGGGACAGTGGTGTGGGGACAGTGGGAATGAGGTGGAAACACTGGGACAGTGGAGGGTACAATGGTGGTGGAGACACTGGTAAAGGCGGTGGCGAGGACGGCGGTGGGACAATGGGACAGAGGTACAGTGGGGACAGTGGTGGGGACAGTGGGGACAGTGGTGGAAACAGTGGGACAGCTCAGTGGGACAGCGGAGGAGTCAGTGGGACAGTGGGGACAATGGGGATAGGCAGTGGTTGGGTCCGTGGAGACAGTGGGGAGAGTGGAACCGTGGTGGGAACAGTTGTGGGAACAGTGGGGACAGTGCGACAGTGGTGGGGGCATTGGTGGGGACAATAGGGACGGTGGTGGAACCAGTGGGGACAGTGGTGGTGAGGACAGTGGTGCTGGGAACAACAGTGGGGGATGTGATGCGAGCGGTGGTAGGGACCGGGAGTCGTTTGCTGGCGGTGCGTGGGGGGGGGGTCGAACCGGTAGTGACCCCCCTCCGGTTTTCGAAGGGGGGGGGGGGGGGGGTTCCAACCGGTAGTGACCCCCCTCGGTTTTCCCGATCCGGAGGGGGGGAGGGGAGGGGAGGGGTTCGAACCGGTAGTGACCCCCCCGGTTTTCGGAGGGGGAGGGGGGAGGGGTTAGGGGAGGGGGGGGTTTTGCCGGGGGGGGGGGGGGGGAGGGATTCCGGCAGGGGGGGGGGGATTTTCGGAGGGGGGGGGGGGAGACCCCGGGTTCCGGAGGAAAAGGTTGGCAATTTTCCACAGTAAAGCGGCGGTGGATCACGCTCTCTCATAAATATACATGTCTCTTTTTCTCATACCGGGAGTTTATTGTCTATACATACGCAAATTCGCATATGCGCTGCGTATGTAGTCCCAGCTGCCTACGGCAAGTCCTGCCGTGCTCTGTCGGGCCAAGTTTCTCTCCAGCGGTTGAACCGGTGATATGTGCGATGTGATCGGGTGCGTTCGGTCATTTGGTCTCCATGTCGTTATGCCTATCTATCTCTCGGTTACTCTCTCTCTCTCTCTCTCTCTCTCTCTCTCTGTATGGACATAGAGTTATATAGATATGCATGTCCCTTTTTCTCATACCAGAAGTCCATTGTCTATACATACGCAAACATCTGCATATGCGTCTGTAGTCCCAGCTGCCTACGGCAAGTCCTGCCGTGCTCTGTCGGGCCAAGTTTCTCTCCAGCGGTTGAACCGGTGATATGTGCGATGTGATCGGGTGCGTTCGGTCATTTGGTCTCCATGTCGTTATGCCTATCTATCTCTCGGTTACTCTCTCTCTCTCTCTCTCTCTCTCTCTCTCTGTATGGACATAGAGTTATATAGATATGCATGTCCCTTTTTCTCATACCAGAAGTCCATTGTCTATACATACGCAAACATCTGCATATGCGTCTGTAGTCCCAGCTGCCTACGGCAAGTCCTGCCGTGCTCTGTCGGGCCAAGTTTCTCTCCAGCGGTTGAACCGGTGATATGTGCGATGTGATCGGGTGCGTTCGGTCATTTGGTCTCCATGTCGTTATGCCTATCTATCTCTCGGTTACTCTCTCTCTCTCTCTCTGTATGGATATAGAGCTACGTGGTTATACATGTCTCTTTTTCTCATACTGCGCAAACATATGCATATGCATATGTAGTCCCAGCTGCCTACGGCAAGTCCTGCCGCCATGCCAGCTCAGTACTCTGTGTTGCGACTGGTCGTAGGGCGCACAGAAGGCTGTAACGTTTGACGCCTCGTGCCCCCACGCTTGGTAGAGCCTTAACGCGTTGCACGTTGCGCACGTCGTGTCGGCCTCGTGGAGGCCTGATGCTTCCTTTTCTCCACGTTCCTCACGCCCACCCTCCCCCTTGATAACTGCAAGCGCTTACCGATCGAGCCGCTGAATGGTTCGAAGGAGCGACGGCTGTCGAATCAGCGTTGCACTCTTTGTGGGACGGTTCGTGCGCCGCCGCATGGTCGTAAAACATGTTACGTTCCGTCTCTATTCTTGGAGAGGCCCTTGTGATGAGGAGCGTCAGCGCCGTCTGGTGGTTATTTTGGGTTGTTGTGAGGTTGCCGTAGGGCGAGGAAGGTGGACGAGGGACATGATGATGGCGAGGATGGTGATGATGTTGCTCATGCTGATTCGGAGGAAAGGAAAGATCAAGAGGAGGTAGTGGGGAACTACCGTCATGTTTGGTACTTGTTGTCGAGAGTCTTACATAATGATTACCGCGAGCGGTTGCCGCTCGAACACCGATGTATAATCTCCGTGTGTCAGCGTTTGGAGCGGCGCCAAGAATGCGGTCACATGGGACATTCCTTCAACAAGCAAAACGCGACGAGAACAAGCGAGCGAGGGGGAGAAGTGAGAAGGAGAAGGCCTTGTCAGACGGCGGCGAAGCTTCTCAGAAGCACTCTGGCCTTCCGAGAAGGTTTCAGTGTCTACGGGGAAGGCTCAGGCAACTTTTCAGGATGCCGGGGGCCTTCCGAGCCTTCCGAGAAGGCCCGCCCCCTCTTGTTGCCTTCCTGGGCTCGCTGCAAAAATCTTGAGGCCATCGCAGATTGCCTTGATGCCATTTAGAGCCGCCTGCGGCTCCTCTCAGCCGTCGGCGGAGAACTTGAGACTGTCTTGAGCGTCTCTTGGCTGTTTGACAGGTCTCTTCAAATTGTTTCGGATTGATGTTCGAACTCGGCGGCGAGCCAGGGGGAGAGGTGAGAAGGGGCAGGACCTCTCAGAAGGCAGCAAATTGCTCAGAAGCCCTCTGGCCTTCTGACAACTTTTATGTGTCTTCGGAGAAGGCTTGTAGTACTTGTCAGAAGGCTGGTGGAACCTCCGCGCCCTCTGAGGAGGCCCGCCCCTTCTCGCTTCTTCCCAGCGTTCGCCGCCAACGAACCTTCTTCAACGGCTATCTTGGGATGTCATTGATCACTCGTGGGCCGTCTTGAGGCGCTCTTCGTCTATGTGAGCGTCTGTGTACTGTCTTGGGACGCCTTGCAGTTTCTGGAGACTCTTTTGTGCTGTCTTGGCGCTTTCGTGGGACTGTGTCTAGATCATGTGGGCTAGTCTTCAGAGTTCCGTTGGGCCTTATCGTGTAGTCTTGGGACCATTTTAAGCAGTCTTGGGTCCCGCCTGGCCATTGGGTCCTCTAACTTGACATGTCATGGGGCCGTCTTGGGCCGTCGAAGTCTCTTGTCCCGTCTTGGGACCCCTCTTTGGCCCTCTTTGGCCAACTTGAGTCTCTGCTGCGACCGTCCTGGGCTGTCTAGCGCCCTCTTGGGGGTATTTGTGGGGCTCTCGAACAGCGCAAGTCGACCGAACTTCGACAGCGAGCGGCATTGAGCACCTATGGTAAGGCTTCGGGTTGCGCATGCGCACAGACAGCGCGCCCAGGTAGTACCGGCTGGCCTTAGCAGGCCGCAACGGGCCTCTCGGGCAGAGCCCTGGGACCCGGAGCGCTCCAGGGGCGCCGCCGCAGGCGGTGCCAGGCTTCTGTGGACTTGTTGGGCACATTTCAGGGGCGGTTCGGTGCGCCCGGAAGCAATGGAGGTCGTTGGTTTCATCGGCTCGTGGATGGGGGCCGGGTGGCTTTGAACGTGTGGCTCTCGCCCCGGCGCCGCGCACGCCTAGGTCACGAGATGTCTGCAAGGGTTTCGTGGACGGTGGTCGGGCGAGTTGCATAGTGTTGTGGCTCCGGCCGTGGTGGCTTCCCGCGGCCGTCCTGCAAGCCTTGGGGCGCACTGGCAGGCGCGCTAGAGGGAGGCACCCGGGCGCGAGGAGAGGGGGTCCTCTGAAGATTTGCAGTGCCCGTCGGTCGTTGGAAGTAGGTCTTTCTGGATTCCCAGATTCCAGTCTACATGAATCAAGCAGTGGCGAAGCGTCCTGGCTCGCCTATAGCCCTACCAAACAATGTTCGAAGAACCTTTTGTGGTTTCCAGGAAATGTTCTCAGAACGGTTCTGGCGAAGTCTGTCTTGTTCCCAACCATCCTGTGGTGTTGGGTCCTCGTTTTGAAGAGACAGCGCCCCGCGTCTCTCCTCCTTCCTTCCTTCCTCCTCCCCCTCCTCCCTCCTCCCCCTCCTTGCCTCTGCTCTCGGCACACCTCTCACACGCTTCGTAGTCCCATAGGGAGCTCCACCGAAGGCCCCAGTGTGGGGGGGGGGGGGGGTCGCATGCGGTTCCCCCACCCAGGGCAGCGCTTCGTGGCCCCATAGGGAGCTCCGCCGATGGCCCCAATGGGGGGGTCGCATGCGGTTCCCCCACCCAGGGCAGCGTTTCGTGGCCCCATAGGGAGCTCCGCCGATGACCCCAGTGGGGGGGGGGTCGCATGTTGTTCCTCCACCCAGGGCAGCGGTTCGTAGCCCCACATGGAGCTCCGCCGATCGCCCAAGTGGGGGAGGTCGCATGCGGTTCCCCCACCCAGGGCAGCGTTTCGTGGCCCCACAGGGAGCTCCGCCGATGGCCCCAGTGGGGGGGGTCGCATGCGGCTCCCCCACCCAGGACAGCGTTTCGTGTCCCCATATGGAGCTCCGCCGATGGCCCAGCGGGGGGGTCGCATGCGGTTCCCCCACCCAGGGCAGCGGTTCGTAGCCCCATGGGGGGCCCCGCCGAAGGCCCCAGTGGGGGTGTTCGCATGTGTCTCCCCCGCCCAGGGCAGCGTTTGGTGGCCCCATAGGGAGCTCCGCCGATGGCCCCAGTAGGGGGGGGGGTCGCATGCGGTTCCCCCACCCAGGGCAGCGTTTCGTGTCCCCATTGGGAGCTCCACCGAAGGCCCCAGTGGGGGTGCCCGCACGCGGTTCCCCTACCCAGGGCAGCGTTTCGTGGCCCCATAAAAGGGGGCTCCACCGTAGGCCCCACTGGCTGTTCTCGCATGCGGTTCCCCCACCCAGGGCAGCGCTTCGTGGCCCCATAGGGAGCTCCACCGTAGGCCCCAGTGGGGGTGCCCGCATGCGGTTCCCCCACCCAGGGCAGCGCTTCGTGGCCCCATAGGGAGCTCCACCGAAGGCCCCAGTGGGGGTGCCCGCATGCTCTCCCCCACTCAGGGCAGCGCTTCGTGGCCCCATGGGGAGCTCCACCGAAGGCCCCAGTGGGGGTGTTCGCATGCGGTTCCCACACCCAGGGCAGCGCTTCGTGGCCCTATAGGGAACCCCACCGAATGCGTTGCTCACAGAGACGGTACGCACAACTGCATATGGTTGGGTCCTTCGTCAGGCTAATGTTAGCACATCGGGTTTATGCTACAAGAACACTGTTTTTGTTCTTAGCACATTTTTGGGTTCTAAGAACATCTCGTGGTAGGACTACAGAAATGCCAGGACGGTCGGTCCCTGCTCAAATTAACCGTTTTCTTGCTTCAATGATCGAGTGGCTTCACCGTTCCCGTCCTCCTCAGGGGTTGCGCGGAAGCGTAATCTACTCTCAACGCTTTCCTGCTTCATGTTTCTGCCTACTTCTTCCCACCGATGGGTGACCTTACGAGACAGCACCTGGTATTCTTCCACGCCTCAACGTGCCGACGGGCTTGGTGACGTATGCCCCCTCTGTGGCTGCTATCATTGTTGTTCCTTCATGCTCCGCATCTTCCCATCCCCCTCCCTCTCTCTCTTTCGGTTTCTCTCTGTCTCTCGTTCGATTGCTCTATGCTTTCTCTCTCTCTCTCTCTGTCTCTCTCCTTCCCCCTCCCTTCGCAGCCCTCTTCCTGCACGCACGGCATGCGCAGCCGAAGTGCCACAGGTCGAACGGGGCGGACACTGCCGAACCAGATGTGCCCGGAGTGTTGATAACACCGCCCCGCTGCACGAGGGATCCATCGCGAGCGGTTTCTCGCGGCGTCTCGCCGCCTCCACCCGTATCGAGCTGTTGTTACGCTACAGCTTCCGGCCTGCGGTCACAGGTTAACGTTAAGTCGGGCCTGTTCCTCTACAGGAGGAATATTCGAAAATAGTCAAGTAGTCAGGGGACGATTTGTTTGGACTATTTTCGACTACTTGTGAGCATGTTCTGACTATTCACAATTTTTCGCCCAAAGTCCCCCTGTAGGGGGACATGCCTGACCTAAGTTCAACGCGTGCGTAACTGATCACATGGATTTTGCTACACGGGTGCAGCGAAGAGCGGTGTCGGACGGAGGGCGTGTTCACGAGGTCAGCCAGAGTGTTTCTTGAGAAAAAATCTGGCCCCGGGGGACCTGAGAGAAGGACGCACACTTCCACTGATGGTGGTTTGGCCAACCCACTACGCGACGCCACACCTTCAGATTTATAAGCGTCAGTGTCGAAATATGGTCGGGCATGGCAGGAATCGCATATTTTCTTTATGCCAAGATTGGAAATTCGGCCTTACGGGATGCTATAAACAACCGAGTGTCATGTGCCACATTTTCTGGCGGCCCAGCCGTTCCTCCCGCGCCGAGGGCAAGCGATCCCAGCCTGTCATGCCCGACGTGTTGTTCTGAAGCCGTCCGCAGCCCCAGGTGCTCGGGGCATTAGCTTCGAAATTCAGGTGATGGCCGACGTCGGACCCGAGTCCTCGTCTGTGACCGTGCGTGTTGTCACTTGTGGTTGTCGTTGCCTATGCGCTTGGTTTGACCAAGCGTGGTACCATCCACCCACGCACCGAGTGGGGCTGGGCTCTGACCGAACAGTTCGTCCTGTCGTCGCGTCTCAGTTGTTGCTCCCTCGCACTCTCCCCCAGCCCTTCCATGCGCCCCCCCCCCCGGACACAAGTTTTGTGAGAACGCGGTTTCTCTTCCTTCCGTTTTTTTCTTCTCTCTCTCTCTCTCTCCCTCTCCCTCTCTTTCTCTCTCCATCTCTCTCTCTTTCCTTCTGTCACTCTTTTTCTGTCCCTCCCTCCCTCTCTCCATCCCTCTCTCTCTTTTTCCCCTCTCTCTCCTTGTATGTGTGTGTTGCTTGCGCTATCTTTCTATCCCTCTCCCTCCCACTCTCTCCCTCCCTTCTCTCCCCATGTATATGTCAGAGTGAGGGACCCAACGGTCTGACACCGTCCCTGGGTGTATTGCTGAAATGGGATTCCGTGGCTCGGACTGTTCGGGGCTGCGGAGGGCGGGTATCGATGGCTTCGGATATACGTGTTACAGGGCACGCTTGCAGGTCAGAGCGAACAGTTTTGAAATCATGGTTGTCGTTTTTGTTGTTGCTGCGACTGCTGCTGTTGTTGTTGTGGTTGTTGTTGTTGTTGCTGGTGTTGTGGTTGGTGGCGATGGTGGTGTTGTTATTGTTGCTGTTGTATGTGTTGTTGTTGCTGTTGTTGCTGGTATGGTTGTTGTTGGTGCTGTTGTTATTATTGTTGCTGTTGCCGCTGTTGGTGTTTCTGCTCGTGTTGCTGTTGTCGTCGTTGTTGCCCTTTGTGGAGTTCTCATTTCTAAGCACCAGTGGTTGTTGGCCCCCTCTGCCCAGTGCCCATTGTGGCGTTTGAGCTTTCAGTGCTCCTCCCAGGCTCCCAGGGCCCGTGCCTTGATTCTTGCCAGGGGAAGTCTTGGGCGTCAGGCTGCGCCCCTAGCCAGTTCTTGATTAATTGTTCAAGAGCACGTTTTCGCGCAGGAGTTTCTTACGGTCTATCCAGAAATCGCGCTCTCGCGAGGTGTTTCCTCGCAGTGTATTGAACCGCAGCGCCGCCAGCACCCAATAATCACGATTTCGCTTTGGCCTTTCTCCCGATTTGCTTGGGAATCGCGCTATCGCTCGAGACGCCCTCGCGGTTCATGCAGGACTGACGCGTCAGCGACCCGCCGTTTGTTCGACTTGGCCGCCTGGGCCCGCCTTCTCGACCCGTCCGTTAGGGTCTACCCGCCCGATCTGCTTGTCTGGCTCTGCAACGTGTTTTCTGCTCATATCCCGATTCCTGCTAATCTCTTTCGCGCTCCATTTGTATTCCTCCCCCTTGTCCCTTCCTTTCATCCGTCCTCGTCTCCGCTTGTTTTAGGGGCTGCGCCAATACACGTGGCAGGCGGGAGCTTGGCGCCGTTAGGGCGACTGCTCTTCTCCGTCCACCGCCGGTACCGTGCTTGCGTCCCCACCCGCCGGGCCGCCTGCTTCGGTCCCCAATGAGGGTCATTTTGTCCCTGGCGTGCACTTGCTACAGCGGCCTACGTGCCTCTGCAGCCAATTATCTCGCTCTGTGCCCCAGAACGTTATTCCCGCTCGCTGGATCTGTCCTTCGAGCCGCCGAACGAAAAAAAACACGCGGCAGCTAAGGAACACATGCCCCCAACAGGGGTACGATCGACGACGACGAGGGCGGGTATCGAGGGTTTGGGATACACGTGTCCCAGGGCACGCTAGCAGGTAAGAGCGAGCAGTATTGACATGATTGGTGCTGTTGAGTTTGCATGTTTAACACCAGTGATTGTTGGCTCCCTCTGCCCAGTGCCCACTGTGGCTTTTAAGCTTTCAGTGCTCCTCCCAGGCTCCCAGGGCCCGTGCTTTGATTCTTGCCAGGGGAAGTCTCGGGCGTCAGGCTGCGCTTCTAGCCGCCGACTTACAACAGCAATGGCTCCACATAGCAGATTTTGATTATTTGTTTGAATTGCGCTTTCGCGCAGGAGTTCCCCACAGTCTGTCCAGAAATCGCGCTCTCGCGAGGTGTTTCCTCGCAGCGTATTGAACCGCAGCGCCGCCAACATCCAAGAGTCACGCTTTCGCTTTGGCCGATCTCCCGATTTACTTGGGAATCGCGCTATCGCTCGAGACGTCCTCGCGGTTCATGCAGGACTGACGCTTCAGCGACCCGCCGCTCGATCCCGCCGTCTGAGCCCGCCCGACACGCCCCACCCCGCCCGACCAGCCCGTCTTGTACTGTGATGTGTTAGCCTGCTCCTAACACCCTCCCTGCTAATCACTGTCGTGCTCCATTATGATGTCACCCCGTTCCTCCCTTCCTTCCTCTTTGGAGGCTACGCCAGCGAGAAGTGGCAGGTGGGGAATATGTATTCCAAAGGGGGGTATGATCGAAGACGAAAAGGGCGGGTATCGAGGGTTTGGGATATATATATATATATATATACATACAATTATATATACATGCATACATATATATATATATATATATATATATATATATATATATATAGTAGATGTTGGCTCACACGCGAGCAGATAAGGGCGAACCTTTGCTCACAATGACTGATGTCGGTGTCGTCGTCCTCGCCCAGGACCCACCCCGCGACCCACCCCGCGACCCACCACGTTTGTGTGCATCGTGTGTATGGAATCCATGCCTGCGGCGGGCTCCTGCAGAGCCTCGCAACTGTCGACGTCCCCGCCGCCCCCCACTCTTAGCCGTGGGGGGAGGGGGCAGGGTATGTATGTGTATGCAAACATACATATACATACATATTGTTATAACTACATATATAGATGTATACAGGTGTAGGTACGTATGTACACATACATATATACGTATGTAAACACGTGTGTACATATGTGTGTACAGATCGGAGACGCATCCGGTGAATCACCGCCGCCCCCTGTCTTTCGAAAACGCCTATGTGGCCGAACGTTGCGGCCAGAGGTCGACACAGCTATCGGACGACGTGCTCCCCCAGCCGTTTGGAGAACCCTTCGGGGAACACGTGGGGGAGAGACGAAGACGAGGAGGCTTCTTGGGAGCCTATAGGGGCACACTCGGCGCCTCCTCAGAGCTTCCCGGCGCCCTCTTGGCGGCCTCTTGGAGGTTTCTTTGGTCCTCTTGTGGGCTTCGGAGGCTCTTTGGCTTTTTGATGGCTTTTTGGGGTCCTGTTTTGGCGCTTCAGGTCCGTCTTGGATGCCATCTTGGGCATCTTGGAAGTCTCCTGGGCCGTGTTGGGGCCCTCTTGTGGCCGTCTTGTGGGCCTCTCGGGCCGTCAGGTGCCATCTCGGAGGCCTCTTGTGCGCTCTTGGTGCCATCTTGGTGTAGCCTCTCGGGCCGTCTTGGGCCATCGGACAGCCGAAAATGAGCAAACGTCAGAATACGTCAAGAACCTCTTTGGAAACTTAATGATTTGGGCATCCTCGGGGCTTCTTGGAGGTCCTCTTGGAGGCCTCTTGGGCCGTCTTGTAAGCCCCTTGGGAGATCTTGAGGCCATCGTGGGCCACCTTAGGGGCATCTCGGCCCATCTTGGCCCATCTTGGGGCCATCTTCGGCTCTTTGGGGGCCATCGTAGCCGTCTTGGATATAGCCTTGGCCGTCTTAGAGGCCATTGTGGGACCGTCTTGGGCGGGAAGACCGACAACCTGGGAAGTTTACGGGCTCTTTTGCGGCGGCAAGACCAACGGATTCTGAAGTTTGTGCGTCTTTCCGGGTGGCCGGCGGGTTGAGCCGAAAGTCTTTTGGGAACGCAACAAAAAACAAACCTAGCATTCGGCACTGTGGCAAGCCACAGAGGGCGGCGGGCATAGCGGCCTTCGGCCTAACCTGCCACAGTGTTTGTGTTGGAGGTTCCAGGCCTCTTGCATCTTTTGGGAGGCCTCTCTGCAACCAACCTCTTGGAGGCAGTTTTGAGGTGTCTTGGGGCTTCTCGGGTGCCTCTTGGGGGGGAGGCATTTTTTGAGTCTCTTAGGAGCCTCCTGGAGCTTCCTGGGAGCATCCTGGGGGTCAGTGGCGGTCTCGGAGGTTCACTTGGGGCGGAGAGCTCGTAATGTCATCTAGTTCCCCCTCTTGGGCCCCTTGAGGAGCCCTCTTGGGCTGCCGTGGGGGCCTCTTGTGCCGTCTAGTACCATATTGGGCCGTCCTGGGGCCCTATTAGGGGCCTCTTGTGCCATCTTGGAG